AAAAAGCACTAGCCAAATTTTTTAAATTTTTCTTCAGCAAACTGTGCAAACATAGATCACCATGAATTCGATTAATACAGGATAAGTATATGAAATTTATACGTATCATCAAGAGTAAATAATACCTAAAAATTAACAGGTTCTTAATTACTCTTATTTACTCTATTATTATTGGTATCATAGATAATAGAGTAACTAAAATAATACTGTTAACCTCAACTCCACCCATCTATGCTGGCATCATTTTAGGCTCAAGCGATTCATGAATGCAAATGGAGGGCGTTAAGAAAGCAGCACGGAATGCCATTAGAGTTAACAACCACGCTCTCTCAAGCGCTTTAAAAAAATCCCCAACTTACTTTCAGCCAATACTAGAGAAATTTGCTGCACAGAAACCGGGTATTATATCAGAAGAAGAGAAGGACTCTTATCTCGATACTTACAGTGGCCAGTCCTTGCAATTCAGAGCTGGTCAGCTTGTAGCCAGCCTACAAGCAACAGTTGGTGTGAAACCAAGCACGCTGGATGATATTCTTTGTATTTTACACGAGAATGGTGCTATAGTTGTACAAGAAGCAGCTAAAAAGATAGCAAAGGATTGTAAGTATACCTCCATTTGTCATGTGTGAACAGTCAGCACCATGTTTTAAGTACCATATAATGAGGTGGGGCTGGATTTATTTTAATTTCATGTATTTGAGCGATTTAGTTAAAATGCATTTATTGTTGTATCTTTAAAATGTAGGCCAAATGACCAGTTTAAATGGTTTAAGTGATCATTTTATAATGCCAAAATTGTTTGATTATTTAAAGAATTTTTAAAAACCTAAAATCATGAACCAACTCATACAGAATAAATTACACTATGTCAGGGATAGAGGTTTACTGGGTGTCATGGGAAGATTATACAGCTGCTTAAGTAGCCTTACAGCTGTTTATGCATAGTTAAATCCCACAGTTTATACTGTAAAACTAATTTAATGATTCACCAAAAAAGGGGCCTGCCCTTTTGCCTGGGAGGCTGAGGCTACAGGGGCGTATCTGAGGGGAGGCCTACAGGGGCCTGGGCCCCCCATCAATTGTTGTAGATAATGATATTCATTGTTTGTTTTATTACTTACCACCTAGTAATAAAGATTAACCACCTTGTAATCATTTACAATACATTGCACAGCAGTAAATGTACGAGAAATAAGAAGTAGACAGAAGCAAAACACTCATTTTATATTAATCATTGTTGAAAATGTAAGATTTTGATGCTTTTAAAATACGCAAAATGCTATTTTAGTGCACTATACAAACGTTAAAAAGGGGTGTGGCCAAATTTTCGGTGCGCTTCGCGTACCATTCATCTCTAGGCCTCCTCATCATTTCCTTCCCAGCTATGCCCCTGTGAGGCTATCTCCCTAGATCTACCCTGCACTAATCTTTTATGTATATACATGTAGATGGACTTAAATTGCCTAAGTATGATTGCCTCCGTTCTCAAAAAAAAACTTCACGTCCAATTCCAGCAGGAAATACTGAAACAAGAGTAGCAAACGAAGGTAATGTTCCTACAAGCAATTATAGTTCAAAATTAAATAATCTTATGTATCATAAACTTTGTATAGTTGCGAACGATACTATTGCTACTGATGATTCAAGTGGAGCGGAAGAACCTGATTCTCCTCCAGTTTCTAATGCTGGTAAATTATGCATTCTTTTGAGTGGTGTACTGTAAAGGGAAAATCATTAAATCATTATGTGTGTTATTGGACTAGTAAATACTTTGTAAGTGTGTGTTTTAAATACTAGTAGTCTTCGTAGTAATTAACATAAAGTAACAAATGGAGGCCTTTGGTTTATATAGCTTTTCTTCCTGTGTTATAATGCCTTACTTGATTATGTTAAGTTTTCAGTGTGAATCAGCCTTAACAGTTGACAAGTTGCTTTACAACTAATTCAACAGCTAGAGCTTGCATTTAACTATCTGCATGTTTATTGGCCTTATCCTGCTCTGTATGAGTGAGTTACTATAGGTACTTTTTGTTGTCTGTCTTGTCATGGAACATGAGATTTTCCCTTAATTTATTTATAGGTGAAGAGAGACAATTAAACTGTAAGTTTTATTGTAGTATTTGCCCTTAATTGACATGTATGGTGAGTCAAATAATACTAACGAATATGTAGCTCATACTGCTCCCAATGGTGAATCAAATGGAACACTTAGTGGAGAAGCTGATATTCTTTCACTTTTTAGTAATGTGGGATGTAATTGTAAAACAATTATGCACCTTGGAGTTGTGGTGTGTAATAATTATGAAAACATATTAAAGTATCTCGTAGTATCAGTCTTTATGATTATTTGCATGGTTTTGGAATATTGGAAATATGGTATGTTATTTTATTACTATGGCTAACTGTCTATATTTTAAAATTTATTAAAGGAACAATATATTCTGGTGTTGTATTGGTAGCTTCTTTTGGTGAATACCGCTACTCAAAATCAAGTATAAACAGTATAATAATAGCTGTCACTACATGTTATTTTGTAGCTGTATTACTGATTATTTCTCTGGGAATAAGACTTTGTTTTCTAGAAAAACCTTGGAGTAGTAAGTTTCAATTGTACTTTTATGTGTTTATTATTATATTTATAGTTGAAGGAATATTGATAGGTGTAATCTTTCTTTTAGCTTTGATTTATGACATGAATTCTGAACAAAAACTAAATAAACTGATGTTATATGTTGTATCACTGCTGCCAGCATTAAGCAATATCATTAAGCATGTCAGTATTAAGCAGTGGTATGACGATAGTCAGAAACCTAATAAGTCATAGGGAGTCTTTTGTTATTGTTATTAGTTAGTCTTTTTGAGTATAAAATATTGTTTTATTGGTAAAATTTTGTTTAACATTGTTTTAGCCCTGCACATTATACATTGTATACAAGGTTTGACCCAAGTTTATTAATGCAAGTTGATGCATGCTATTTTGAAAATAGTTAACAAGAATTAAAACCTACTCTGCAGCAAAATCCTACCATGTTGTAGGCTTGTAGCTCATACTACTACTGCACCTACAAATCAGTAATACTGAATTTAGAACCCCCACTTTCTAATCCTTTATTCTTAAACATGAATATATATTCCTTCTCTTAGCTTTATTTTGAAGGAAATAACCTATTGAAATTTGAGTGCATGGTTGCCACACCACTAGCAAAGACTTCAATTTAAAACAAGGGAACAGGGGGCTATTTTTGTATTAAGTATGTGTGAGAGTAACATGACAAGGGAAAGAAGAAACAAATTTTAGAAGAGTAATGAGAGTGAAAAAACTTACACAGCCATTAGAAAGTTAAGCCCAGCATGCACATGCAACAAATGTTGAGCATAATTCATTTTTTAAACAATGGCAATGAAAATATTTTACAAAAACATTTTGCGTCAAGAAATTACAAATTTCAGTGAATTTTTGATTACGTATTAAAGATATTTTAATGATATTCAATAATTCCTGTAATCTCATAATTATTTTCATAAGGTGCTATATACCACACAAATACCCTGTATACTCGTAGTTGTCGCTAGTTGTCACAGGAGCTGATACTGAACTGCCTGATACTATTATCCATTCCTGGTGCTTTAAGTAAGTCCTTATTCTTGTATCATTATTACTTTCTACTTATAATCAATTGTATCTTACAATAGTGTAGACCTAAATTGTATTGTAAAAGTTACAAATTACTATTTCCTAAATATTAGTTAAGTTAGAGAGTAGAT